TCTTTAATTAAAGTGATGTTTCTCTCTGTCATTGTCACTATAACAAAATATAAAAGAAGAAAATATTATGTTAGCAGAATGTATAATGTGATTAGATTAGAATAAAGTTCATTTTCAAATCGATTATTCTACCTAAAACCTCAAAATTGTGATTATTAGTGTATATAAAAAAATTTCATTCTACAGTTAAGAAATACACTAATAATCACAAATTTGAAGTTTCAGTTAGAATAATCGATTGGGAATATTGAGACACATCATAAGTATCATAAGTATTCAGAACATAAGTAAAAGGGATTCATGAAAGTAATGGAATTTGCAGGAAAATAAATTAAAAAGAAAAAGATTTCAAGGCTAATTAAAAGGTCTTTTGTTTTTTTGATTTCGTTTAATAAAATGGGTTATCTTCATATTGGATTTTGGAATAGCAAAACACATATATCAGAAAGAAGTATGGATATGAAGTATAAAGAACTTGGAACAAATTTGGAAGGAGAGACAATTGATATCACAACACCCAAAACAGTAAGTATCAAAAATGTTGAAAGGGTGAATTAAAGATAAGTAGAATGCTATGATGGTTCTTAAATATACTAAAATACTAATGCTGACCTATGATATTCGAATGATATTGAAACTACAGCAATATGAAGCTGTTTTTCTGTGAGGAAGCGGTTAAAGGAACTACAAGATTCCAGGATTACAAGTTAGAAGTTAGAAAATAGTAAATATATATGAATACGGACCATTATGGTATGTATTAATTCCGATATAATTTCCTATTTTTTGGAATTAGACTTTATTTCAGAATTCAAATTCAAATTAATGATTGCATACACATTCCTTATATAGAGGATTGTATACCAAATATATTCATTGTGCATTAAATATTTTCGTGGAGTAAATAGGAAACAAATATGGAGTTATATTCAGAAAAATAAGACGAATGATCATTACGATCAATTTACAATAATTGGAAGATGGATATAGAGAGATGCCATGTGTACAAAAAGTTTCATTTATTAGATAGGTAGATATTTTTTATACATCCACTGAAATAATAGTGCATTGACATATATACCCTTATTTTAATTCAGAGATATTGAAGAGAGAAAAAGACCCAAAAGATTTGTTTCCATTTTCCAACCACGACGCACAAGACGGACCTTCCTCCTTCTCCTTCGGCGCTTCAATCTTCAGCTGGAAATCCGCTACTTCTGGGAAGTGATCTTGATTCTTGGTTCTATTAAAAGATCATGATCATATTTAGTCTCTGATTCTTTATGTATAACTATATGGGATTGATATCAAATATTATTGATCTAAGTTACTGCACAATAGTTGAGGAATTTGAAATTCAATAATTGAGTTTAATACCCTTTTACCTATGAATAATGAGAAATTTACAAATCAAAATAAAGTGAAACCATGTTCATGGTGAAACTTGATAATTAGATTTCTTTTGATTTCTCATTTTTTTTTTTACTATAGCAGGGCCGACTTTATTAAATTCCTGGTGAAGCCTTCTTTTTTGGTTCAAGGCTTCATCTTTTTTTTTTAATTTTATTTTTTTATTTTTTTTATATTTTTTTATTCAAGACTTCATTGTTTCATGCTCTTTGCCGTAATTCTCTCCATATGCATGTGAACGATTTTAAATATAAATCTTATAAAAATTCAATAAAATTCAAGGTATTTAGCTTAGCGTCATTGAATTATGAATATCTTCACTTCTCTTTTTCTCATTCTCAAAAGAGGTCGCCAGAGTTCTCCCTCGGAGACAAAACCGGTACCTACGCCGGCAGTGGAGGTGGTGGTCACCGTGGAGGCCGGTAGTGAAGCTAGTCGTCTCTGTGGTAGCTCTAAAGAAGAAAATGGTTGATAAAAACAGATAGAAAGGTTAAGAGGGTGATGTGATTGTGAATGAGGGGAGTTAGCTAGATAATTTTTTTTAACATGAGTAATATAATTACTAAGGTAGAATTATCCGTCAAAAAATAAAAATAAAAATAATAATAATAATAATAATAATAATAATAATAATAATACACTACAATTAAACTAGGGCATAGTTGTCACTAGTATTTGAACACGCGCACTGCTGCGGGTTCTTACGTGTATTTACTGCGTATTAGACATATAATTGATTAAACCAGTATATCATATCACATATAAAACGTAAAAAATATTTAAAAGGTGAGACAAAAAAACTTTTCATAAATCTAAAACCAAAACAAAATAGTAAAAAATTTAAAATTAAGAAAAAAAGGTCTATGTTTGCATAAAAAAGCAAAGAAGAAAATCACATTGTTGAAAATTATAAATAAAACAAAACATTTAGTTGGATTTTGATTTGTGACGGACTTGGTTTGTAAAACAATAAGTAATAGGTTTTTTTTTCTCAAAATGTCAGTATTAAAATTCTTGTGTTGTTTGATAATGTTTGTTTTTTATTTTTTTTAAGTCAAGAGACTACTTTTGTAATTTATATGGATTGAGAATTAAAAAAAATGAATGAAGGGTCATTTCAGTAAATTTATATTCACCATTCAACGAATTCAATATAATGAGGGTAACAGTAGCAGCTCATTTTAACGGCTTAAGATAGTAAAACCCTCTTAATTACAAATATACATACAAAATGGTAACATCCGACTCCCAACTTGATTTCCTTTTTAGAAAAGTTACATGTATGTACATTTTGAAAACAATACTTTTAGGTACAGTAGTATTCTCTCACAAACAAAAGTTTACATTTTGTATATCTTCTTTAATAAATGAATGTTTTTTTTGTCACTTATAACACTCTCATTCATTTAGCCAAATGTCATTTTATGGTTATTTTGAATTAATTTTTATTCTATATGTAATTTTGTGGTTTTCCTATTTTATTAAAATCCATATGATATTAAAATTTAATAATAAATGCATATCAATTTTATTAATGTACTTTCCTTATAACTTTAAAATTTTAAAATAAAATCTAATTAATTTGCTTTGATTATTTTATCTAAATGATTTGTTTAAATTTAAAAGAGAAAAGAAAAACACTTTAGTTTTAGTAATTCAATATTTTTCTTATTTTTCTTATAAATTCAAAATTTTTAAATGTTTATACATATTTAATTGTTTTAAATACACCCATATAATACATGGGCTCACACCTAATATTTATAATACCACTTATAATTTAGTGGATTTATCAAAATCTTCAATTGAAGAATTAGCTCCCTTATCAATATAGTTCAAATTTTTATAAAGAAAAATTGTAAATATAACCAGATTCATTAATTACTTGAAAATAGTTAAAAAAAAAACTCAAATTACAAATAAAACCATAAATATCATAGATAGATTAAGCTTATTTACGATTTTAGCATTCCATCTACGAATGTACAAGTCATTAAAGCACAACCATGTTTTAGCGACTTGTACGTTCGCAATTTTTTTTTTTTTGTGTGTGTGTGTACGAAATTGATAGGGTTTAACTACGAAAGAACCTTATTATAGATAAAGTTTTGCAAAAAATTATCAATTTAATTGTTATTTCTTTGGAAAATTTGTTTAAAACATCTCTAATAAAATGAATTCTCTAACAAAAAATTTAAAAATGTTTGAAAAATGAAATCGTCTATAGTACCTCTCTAGAGAATGTTCTCCAAAAAATAGTTTGAAAAATGAAAGGAAAAAAATTACGTTTTTATACACCTGAAAATGGAGAAATCACGTATGGACACAAAATCACAGATGGATTGAGTCCATCTACGAACGTACAAGTCGCTAAAGCACAAACGTACTTTAGCGGCATGTATGTTCGCAGATGGATAAGTAAAATCGCAGATGGACTGAATCCATCTGCGATTTTGGTAGCTATTTTTGTAATTTGAGGTTATATATATATATATATATATATATATATATATTATATATATATATATATATATACACTATTTTCTACAAAGTAATTAAAAGATTAGGCTATATTTGTAATTTTCTCTCTTTTTTTAGACAAAACTTCAAAAATGGTCCCTATGGTTTTCAAAAATATCAAGTTTAGTCTCTAAGTTCAAAAAACCTCACAGATGGTCCCTGTGGTTTCAAAACTTTTAACAAATAGTCCTTTTTGTTAACTCCGTTAACTTTTGGCCGTTAAGTGAAGGGTATTTCTGTCATTTCACTGCCATAGAGACAATTTATGAAGATTTGTCTTATTTAAAAAAAAAACTAATTATTTAATATTAAAGGGTCCCACCCTCTCTCTCTCCTCTCTCTCTCTCTCTCTCAAAAACATCGAACCACCTTCTCCATTAGAATCGAAGCTGTTATCTGCTCCTTCTACCATCATCACCACTAGGTGACACCGGCCAAGGTAAGTGATTTCATGCCTTTAGTCCGATCAAAACACACAGATCCACCATCATCCCTTCCCTTCATCAATCCCTTTATTTCGATTGTTCAACAGTAAAATAAGTATCTCCTACCTCTATTTTCGTTCCCTTCACCTTACTTCTACCCTGTCACTACCATCAATCATAGTCCATGGTTTCTTTCAAAGAAGAGAGCAAACTAGCGTAAGATGGTAGAGTAGGATCAGATATCATTTCTGTATTCATGTCTAGATCACGAGATAACCTTCGGGTTCTTGGAGGAACCATCGCAGCCATTTTTGGGTTACTGGACTGTGGAGTTCTACTGGTGTTGTTGTCAATCTCTGCTAACGATTTCCTTCTATGACACAAAGGATCGGTCTCCCCTCTGTTGATTTGCTCTTGGCTTGGGTTGTCGTTGAAAACCTGAAGGTGTGTCCTCGCCGGAGATACATTTCGCTTCACGTGAATCCTCTTCACTATACTGGTATTTGGTTCTTCTTTCTTTACTGCAAGACCTGTGGCGTCGCATTCTAGAAGGAGACGAAACCCTAACCTCCTCCCTGTGCCGGTGGTGGTAGTTGTGCAGTGCCTCATCGTTTTCAGTCTTATCATCATCACCATCGTCATTCTTCAAACTGGTGTCCAAATCGGAATCGAAGCTCCTCTTAGAACGATAGTATCTTCTTCTGCGATTAGGGTTTTGAGATCCGTAGGAATTACTCCGGCTCCTCCTGAACTCTGAGATTGAGTGTCGCTAGTGGTAGAACTAGGGTTTAACGCATTGGGGTCGTCTTCATCGTCGTGTCTTTTGAGTTCATGGTTGATTTGGTGTTTGATGACGAAAATTTCCTTCTTGAAAACCTGTTGATCATTGTTCGTGTTCTGTGGTTGTTGAGGGATCGATTTGAGGTCGGATTGCGGGAAGCAGGCTTAAGAGCGGTGGTTTTGGCGTTCTTGCTGAAACAAGCAGAGAGAGAGAGAGAAAGAGAGAGAGAGAGAGAGAGAGAGAGAGAGAGAGAGCCTTTAATATTAATTAATTAGTTTTTTTTAAGTAAGACAAATATTCATAAATGGTCTCTATGGCAGTGAAATGATAGAAATACCCTTCACTTAATGGTTAAAAGCTAACGGAGTTAACGAAAAAAACTATTTGTTAAAAGTTTTGAAACCACATGGACCATCTGTGAGGTTTTTTGAACTTAGGGACTAAACTTGATATTTTTGAAAACTATAGGGACCATTTTTGAAGTTTTGTCTTTTTTTTTTTTTTTTAATATGTTTGGTTCCTTAAAAATAGATTTTATTATGATTTTTAAACATTCAAATAATCAGATCTTGTAGTTGTATACTACGATTGACATGAAAAACTTCACACTGTCCCATTTTATAATCAATATAATATCAACAACCGATGGGGTTTACATTTTTTCGGAAACGAATACATTGTGCAATTAAAACTCAATCGGAAACATTTCAACAACTGATAATATTAAATGTCACACAAAGTTTATTTATGATCAGTTGATAAAATACACAGTGTAATTCAATTTGTGAAATTTTTTGTATAAAGAGATAGCAAATTCATGCACAAAATGAAAATGCTATCTATTTAAAAGAAAACTCTTACAATAACTTGTTTAAATTTGCCAAGCTTATGACACCAAATGTAACACTCGGTTTTCAGAGTTTAGGCATCAAAGAGTCAAAGACATGATTTTTGGGTAAAACAAGGTATCACGATGTGACCATAGGGAGGTCACGACGTGACAAGTTGAAAACGAAATACATATTCAAAAGGGCTTGTCACGACGTGACAAGAGGATGGTCACGTTGTGAAGATGGTTGCATGTAACACCCGTGTTTCTGGGGTACGCATTAGTATAATGATGTAATAGTCAATATCAACTATTGTAACTCATATTTAAGTAATAAACCGGAATTGCTTGAATATTATGTGAATTATGTGATTCTATTTACTTATATACTTGTTTATAAAGATATAACAAAAGTAAACATCAAAAATAATATATTAGATAAACCCGATATCTATAAAGAAGGTTGTATTAGTTGTGACAAGGATTCCAGAGATATAAAGAATGTCGAAATCCAAATTATAACGAAGAAGTTATGGTCTGTCGAATTTCGTGACAAAACCGGCACGACACTGTATGACGTAAAAAGTGAGTTTACGATACAATACTTTTTAGCCTTATCAAACTAAAAGAAATTCATATCATACGTTAAACCGAGAGGGTGCATAAAAAGAACGCCCAAATTTGACTTTGTATAGGAAAGTTATGATTTTTCTAAGTTTCGGCTTAACAGTATGCAGCCCGGAGTTTGAATAGTAGATCGACCGATTTTTAACCGACACAACCTAAACGAGAATCGAAGGTCTTGTTAATAGTAGCTCAACGGTAAAAAGACAAACGAAAACAGACGTCAGATGAAGAAGTTATGAATTTTTAATGGACTTTTCCTGTCCCAGCCTGTTAAAATTGTAACTTTAAAAATAAAATTAAAGCTAACCGAAGGAGTCTAAATGAAAGTTGTAAAGTACGGTCCACCTACGCGTGAATATAAAGAACGTCAAAAACAGAGCTCGTATGCGAGAGTTATGAATTTTTGAAGTCGGGGTGGTCAATTGCGAGTTTGTTCGAGGAACGCGATGCGTATGGGAGAAGAAAGCGCAGCGTTCGCATGCTTGGTCCGAAGGCGACCACGTCGCTCCAACCGAAGGCTGACACGTATCGTATGAGCACCCTGCGCACGAGGGAACGCCCTTCCCAAAGCCTAGGGAACCTCCCTAGCACTAAAAGTAAGCCCCAGAGTGCCCGACGGCTCTGAGAAAAAGAGTTTTTCGGCTCAGAAGTTCTGCTCCAGTGGAGCCCGGTTTTTTAAGAAACCCGTCGTAAGTGAGATACGCCTACCCTATTTAAATATAGCTTATATTTAATTATATTAATGTTATTAGGAACTTATAATAAATATTTGGGCTATTATTATGACTTCTATAAGTGTCGTTATAATGTATTTTTAACTACTCGTGGTACGGGGAATCCGGTTTGAAGGGTCGGTTGGGTTGTTGGATTTCAAAATGGCTTAAATGCTAAAATGGTCATACGCTCCGGTGTTTCATGTTTGGCCTATGTATGTATATAGTGGTTGAAAAGTATTGTTTAACGTTTATATAATAATAATAATAATAATAATAATAATAATAATAATAATAATACTATTAATTAGTCACGCACTACTAGAAAAACAGCCTTTTACGACGCTCATTGCGCGTCATAAAAGGCTCAGACGATGCGCAAATGCGCGTCAAGGAAGCCTCTGTCATAAAGAGAGATGACGTGCATTTACGACGCTCATTTACGATGCGCAATTTCGACGCGTGTTTACGACACGCAATGCGTATCAAGGAAGGCCCTGTCATAAAGGAAGACGACACGCATTCGCGTGTCGTAATCTTACGACGCGCGTGTTAATGACACGCAATGCATATCAAAAAAGCCCCTGTCAAGAAAGGCCATGTCATAAATCAAGATGACACACATTTTGCGTATCATAATTTTAAATGTTTAAAAAAAAATATTATTTATGGATTTACTAATTTTCAAATTAAATAATACATTAAAAATCTCATAATACAAAATAAAATACCATAAATAACAAAGATAATTCATTTCACTAATATGTCAATTACAAATAATTATTCCAATAGTGAGTAAATGTTATAAAAAAAATGAACTCATTTATATACAATTGCATTATCTAGCTTACTATGTGCCAACAACTCTCTGTGTGTTTACTTTTGCTTGAGTCTCGTTTCCTCCAAAGCTTCCAGCCATGCCAAAATATGATATCTTAAATTCATCAAGTCCTTGGCATGAAGTCTTAGATAGAAGCTTAACTGCAATCTCCAATCCTTCTAGTAGACCCTAAAGATCATTATTGGCCATGTAGCAGGATCAACCTGCAATATCTTTTCTGCCTTCTTAAGTCATTTGGTGTATCTCCAAAGTCACCTCCATATGCCCGGTATTTGCTACTATTTGCATTTTCCTTGAGTAACCCCTAAAACCAGATGCAAATATTTAGAACTACCCTTGCACCACATTTACAATCTTATAAAATTTAAGAGATGAGTTTCAAACCTGGTCAACCCAATCCCAAATAAACATGGTCAAACCAATCCCAAATAAACCCTCCTTGCCTACTTAGACATGATTCACAGTCGATAATGTTGCATGATGCATCTTTCAGGGTGACAACTAATGTATACAGATTTGGCTGCATGCAACATAATCCAATGTTATTAGATGAAGAGGTGAAAAGAAAAGTAATTTGTTAGATTAAAAGACAAGATTTCTCACTTGCTCTGCAGACCAAAGCTTGGGATTTTTCAGTTTTCCTTCTAATCAATACCCATGAAACCCTATAGGAAAATGAGGGGGCTACTGAAGCTCCAAACTGGCCACGTTAGTTGATAGCAGATTGGAACCCTCATTGGTATTGATATCAAACAGTTTGGCTTCAATTTTGACATCTATAATGTTGTTGATCTTCATAGACTTATCAAGTATTACTTCAACCTAGTGTATAAAAACAAAAGAATTCCACCATTATACAACTCTTCTTAGTTTAAAAGATCACGAAATTATTGAAGGCGAAAAATCAGTTGTGAAGATGTTAATTACCTTTAAATCTGCATATGTAGAACTTTCGGCTAAACTTGATCTAAAGAAATAATCTGCAATGAATACCTTAACACATGCAGACAACATAAGTTTGTGTGAAAGAATAGAATTAAACACTTGATCTGAAGAAATAATCTCCATGACTTTCACATAGTGGGACAAAGTCGTGAAGAGAGCTTAGTAGCTGTCCCATCACCAGCATTAAGACCTTCTGCAACATTGAGGAATTCATGAAGACCTTCTGCTGCAAGTTCTGTCCCATCACCAACATTAATATTGCTAAACAATGGCAATGCCCATCCAATAAATCTATCAACTAAATTTCCAAGAATTACATGGTTTTGTCTTCCATTTGACCCAATAGGGAGTGAACATAAGACTGCACACAAGGCACCATAGGCTGTTGCAGCAGCTTGGTGTACCGTATATGATCTACATAAAGTAAACACAATAAGTATAATGATTACCAAAAAAGGAAATATAAGTGTGCATCTTGCACAATAAGTTCCATCACAGAACAGAAAACATTCCAGAAAGTGAAAATCAGATCTATAGCATAGGGAAAATAAAAGTATACAGCATAACATGTCTTTAGATGATTCATCCACAGAGACAGTAAAATTCTGTAAATACTTAACACCAAGCGATTAGGTTTAGCACAAAGCATGGTTAATTCGTGCACACACACTACTAGATTTATGCTCAGACCATGTTAATTAGACACTATGATTAGTGTTAATTAGTTTTTGCTTCATACTCGTGGTGTCACAAGTTCACATGGTACTTGAGGCTCCATTCGATCACAAAGGTACTGAATTATAAGCAAATAGGAAAAGAAATAAATTATTTATTTATACACAGAAAGTAAATGATGCATTACTGATTACCCAAGTAAATAGATTATTAAACTACCTTCACCAGAAATGACATGTGTCTACAAACACCAAATTGTAGAGTTCCAATAGGGACAAAAGGCTTGTTATAGTTTGTGCAGACAAAAGGCTTGTTATAGTTTGATCCAGATACAGACTTCCGTACCCTCCAAAGTGATCAGATACAAACAGAGCAAGCAAGAAAGCAATCTGTAATTTACCAAGAAAAATGTCTCCCTAATCTTTCGTGGAACCATACATCTGATTTAAATGATACAACAATGATTGAGCACAAAGTGTTACAACATCCAACTCTTCATCCTTTTCCCTGAAAAAACATTAACTTCAGTTTACATATCATTGTCCTTCAATAGAAAATAGCTGATTATCAAGATTAAAAAAACTACCTATCCATGACTATAACTTCACGTGAGCCAAGATGAAAGCTTTTCTCATAGCTGCTGAGAGGCAAGAAAGGACGATCTCGCCCTGCATCATAATTGAACAAGCTTTCTTTGGTATTTTGCATTCAAAAAAATTAAATGTTTAATCACTCTAATAGTTCATATTTGAACAAGCTTGTACTTACTAGACCTTGAGCATATTAAGACATTGTCACCTGCTTTCAGAAACTCTTTAGCTAAGGCATAACCTATTCCTGAAAAACAGTATTTAAATTAGCAAGAAAACTAGAATTTTCATATAAACAATAACTCATCTTTACATACCAATCATCATCCTCATATTTTTCCTTTAATTTCCATTTGTTGACTAATTATAAAAAAATACAAAATAACATAAAAAATTCAAATTAAACATAAATCATTAAAAATATAAATAGAAATTTTGATTTTAACATATATGCACTTCAATAACAATTGGTTTCAGCAATAATCTAATATACTTCTACAATACTAAACATGTATCATACATATCAAATAACATACAATTGCAACAATATTATGCATATTATCTAATTCCCAACAACAAATATCATTTGATTTCAAGAAACAAATACAAAAAGGAATTCGTTTTTGCTTCCAGTTTAGCATAAACTGCATTTGATTCATATCACATATATCAAATAACATATGATTGGAGCAATACTATACATCTTATCTGATTTTCTAATTTCCAGCAACAAATATCATTTGATTTCAAGAAACAAATACCATATGTTTTTGTTTTCGCTTCCAGTTCAAAAAAAAAATATTTGTTTCATATCATACATATCAAAGAACATGTAATTGCAACAATACTATGTATCTTATCTGATTTCTAGAAACAAATATCATCAGGTTTTGTTTGCATCCAATTCAGAAAAAAAAAACAAAAAAAACTTTTGAAGACCTTACCTTCTTCTGATGCAGTGGGTGGAAGTCGACTGGAGGTGGTGATCGACTTGCAGAGAGTAGAGGCGATGACACTTGTGTGATTCTCCTACGCGATCGCCGATGAAAAACCGATAGAAACGTGTTGGAGTATTGTGTAGCAGCATAGGGTTAGAAACAAGAATAACAAAAAAAAAAAGACTCGGTCAACTATAATTTTTGGATGGCTGGGTAAGAGGCATAATGACCCGGTAAGAGGTAAAAAGTGTTGTAATCAAACGCCCTTACCGGACCGAGTAAGAGATAACCTCTTACTGGACCCAATAAAAGGTAAATCAAACAGGCCCTTAGGCCAGTTCTTGAGTACGTCAATAAATAGAAGAACCCGAAGCTTCTTCTAACTTAATATGGATCAAAAAGGTTACAAAAATCAGACTAAAAAAGTAAAATACACTAGTAGTTATTTTTAATGTGATATTGATGAATAATGAGATAAAAGGGTAAAATTGTAAATTTGCAAACATTGTACCAGTAATTTTTTGATTTCCTGAAAAAGGGAAAAATGGTCATTTATCACAAAGTTTATAAACTACAACGTATAAACAGGCTCACATACTCTTCTTCTAACTTAATCCGTGCCTCCTCTTCCTTTCGCCTTTCTTCTTCCATGGTAGCTTCCTTTTCTCTGTCAGCAACACAAATTACACGTAAGCTGACACAACTTGGCTTACGTGTCAAAAAACAAAAGTCAAATGATAAATTGAACTTGAGAGATGATGATGTTTCAGATGGTGTAACACTTTTATCACTAAAGAAAAGGTACTTTTTATTTTACAACATGTAATCTACATTGATAAATAAATAAATATATTTTTTACTTTGATATTAGGAGCAAGAATAAGGTCCCAATTGAGAAAACACAAGATGACATTTCAGATGATGACAATGTTGTACTAAGTGCGTATTTTAAGAGAAAAAAGAAGCAAAAATATTGTCACAAATGTAGTACCTGTTGTTCATGTATTAAACGTTGAGCAGTGAGAGAGGGTGAGGGAGGGGGTGCCGTAGGCCTAGGGTATGATCCTAGACCTCATCCATGTCCATCAATCAAACCATTTTTCATGAACCGATGAGGGGCATATGGGACATTTACATTATATTTCATCAGGGTAAAGTGTTTCATTTACATTACACCTCTGCCATCATGTCCAAAACTTCTACACAAGTCACAAAAACGTTTTGAAATGTAAATATAAATCTCAAATTAAAAAAATACAATTATTATTATTAGTAATGTTGACCTTGGGATTAGGAGGAGAGAATCATAAGCATCACGTTCACATTGAAGGATTGAAGATTGTTGTTGATAAGGTCTATGAGTGTGAGTGTAAGGTTCAACCTCAAGTATAACAATAGTATGTGCTTCCTACATATACAAATACAATACAATCATTACACCTTTATTTTTATCAAACAACACACCAACCAAATCAATATTTAAACAATCCCTAATACCAATCTACTTTCACTCTACTTCCATTTCTTGCATTTAAGCCTTTAAAAATAATAATCATACCATCTCCTTGAAGTGTCTTGTAGACAATGAATCAAAAAGAATCAGATACAACAACAACAATAACATATGTGTTGGTTCAGACCCTGTTTCACACAACAAAAACATAGTAAAAAGAGAGAAGATGCAGGGGTCAATTCTCTTCATTCCAATCTTTAGTGAGTCCTTCCAGATATACCTTTTTAGGATGGACAACCGGTTATCATGAAGGTCTGAAACCCTTGATCTAATTTCTCCCAAATTTCATTAGCATCAAATGATAATTAATAATAATGTTCTTGATGATTGCAGATACATGAAACCTATTTTGTTGGTTCCTACCTAGAACACAATAAGAAACACATTAAGGAAAGGCAACTGTCATCATTGGTCACACCAGACCTGCTTAATTTCCTTCTCTGGAAAAACAGCATAGGAGGGAAAAATCGTGATTTTTTTTCATCTTCTCAAGTTCAATTCGTTACATAGGCTTGTAATGTCTGGAACTATACCTCCTCCATGTCCTTGATTTTGGTAGCTCCTTGTAATCCCATCACCAACAAGATCATTAAGTAACTGTGTAGGATCTCTAGCTCCACCATGTTGCAGTAACTTTTTTCTAATAACAGTACTAGTCTCTAATGACAATGGATCCTCCTTGCATACTATTTCCCATAAGGTTGATGCAAAATACTTTGCATACAAGTAGCTATAATAACCTACAATAAAAAACATTTTTTTCAAGTCAAAAGTTGACATATTTAACCCTGCCTAATTTACTACAATATAGGGATGAGAATTTGGCCCGAAAACCCGAACCGAACCGAAAACCAAACCAAACCGAACCGAATTAGACCCGAATAAGCAATTCGATTTGGTTTTCGGGTATCTATATATGGCTTATTCGGTTTTCAGGTTATTCGGTCCGGGTTACCGAATAAGGGCTTATTCGGTCCAAAAGGACCGAACCAAATATGAAAAGTCACATTTTTTTCCCACTTGCACGATTGCTTATTCGGTCTTGTGTTCTATCGATTTTTTACCCAAAATACCTACGTAATGTTTAATGCTTAACTTATATACTTATAGATAGATTTTTGGGTGTTTTAGATGTTTAATGTTTAGTGTTTAATATGTTGCTTAATGACTATATCTTAAGAATGTGGTGGTTGGATTTTACATTTTATATATCAAGAATAGTTAATCCGTGTTATTTGTGTTTATCATAAGTTACAAAAGTCATACAAAATATAATATTTATAATCACATTGTAAATGTTATTTGGGTTATTCGGGTTATTTGACTCCTTAATCATCTTGTACAATTTATTTGGGTTATTCGGGCCAGAACCGAACCGAATCAAATAATACCCGAACCGAACCGAACCCGTATTGCTTATTTGGTTCGGTTTTCGGTTCATATAATTACCCTTATTCGGTTTTCGGTTTATTTGGGTTCAGGTCGGTTCGGTTCGATTCTGACCCGAATAACATCCCTACTACAATATCTTTTACCTATGATTGCTTTTCCCCTGTTCTGTCTATTTCTTTTACCTTGGTGCACAAGGTGCAAATTGAATGTAACTGCAGTGCCCTGAACAAAGATCTCTGAGAATGTCTTGTTGTTTGGTCCACTCCATATTTGAACTTAACTAAGCAGCAAGTATATTTGCCTGTTATTGTATCCAAACACAAGATTTGATGTTCACTATAACAGATAAATGTGAATGTTCATAGGTTAAGGAATCATCAAACCATTAATTATCACCAATAGATTCATTAGTCTCACATGTTTTGGTTCCCAAATCAGAAAAAAATCAAATTCGTCCCAGAGAAGAAATAAGCCTTAACAGTGATGAATAGGAAAAAGTAACCATTTTAAGCAACTATTATTATACCTGGTAGAGAAGAAATAAGGAGCTTTGCTAACCCCTGTCGCAGCCATTAATCTTTGTATCCTCACACAGTCACACAGGGAGCATGGAGCGATCTCAGAAGTCTCACAGGTCTCGTCAATCTGGCCCCTCAATCAAGAAGAAATCCGATACTGATAAGAAGAAACAAGGCCTCACTGATGATAAGAAACGAGACCCTAATATTGATATGAAGAAACACGACCTCACCGATGATAAGAAGTGAAACCCTAAGGTTTTTCGAATGTTTCTTGATTTTCTAGAACAAGATAAGAACAAGTGTGGTGTGGACTTACAAGTAAGGCTGTATAGAGGTGAATAGGAGGCTGAGATCGATCCCGAGCGATGCTAGAAGTTCAGCTACCCAGGAAGATGCTAAGACTGGAGAAGAACTCTTTTATGAATTTCAGCATCACGAGCAAACCCGATAATTACCTGGTGGAAAACCGAGAAGATGAAGGAAGATGAGACAATCATAAAAGCGAAGAATAAGGAAAGGGCAGAGATAGTTGGAGACAGTGAGGGAGGGCGGCATACGACAACGACAAACTTCATCATCTTCTTCCACTGCCTGGCGGCGTGTGATTCGCGGTGATGACGTGATTAGGGCAAGAGGGAAACAACCATCGAAATCGACAATGCCATCTCCGAAATTGACCGGAAAGCACCTCCATTCATCATCACCGACATACCTATCCTAGTCTCCCTTCTTTCCGTCACTTCTTACTATAGAGAAACAAGAAGGGAGAGTCGATTGTGAAGATGAAGAAAAGAAGGTAGAAAAGAAAGGCGGGTTTTCAAAATTTTAGGGTTTCGTTTTCCCCCATTATCATCTCAAGGCGCGTTTCACTAAAATTATAAAGCGACACCTACAGAAGACGCACGTTTAAGATAAAGCACCCTCCGTGTTTTTAATTTTTTTTCTTGAGACACTAATCTAATGGCACGCAAAAATGCGTGTCAACTATCCTTCAAATTTTGGAAGTCTGACATTATTTTTAAGGACGCTTAGAAATGCGTAACGTGGATCAGCGAGTGTCATTGTTTGCGCGTCATTAAAGGCTATTTTTCTTGTAGTGACGGTAGATATTAGACTAAACTCTAGTGGAAATAATACCAGGTTTCATCAAAGGAAATTGTTTTAAGAAGCGAAGCACTGTTTGAGTTCAAACACCACCATAACAGATGAGTGCATAATTACTTTCATCTTACATATAGATATGAAATATTTTTTATATAAATTACGTGCTATGTGTGCATATTATTTGTATGCTTGTTATCTATGTTGGATGAACGATTTTATACATGTTTTAAATGATTTAAATTGTATATGCATTTTATATCAACAAATATGTTGGGTAAAACATGTGTAGATGTGATAGATGGTGTGTGATGAAGTAAAATGATGAGAGACCTCGGTGTTTAAGAAGATCCACTCATCTAGCAGAGTATAAATGACGACCACAGACTATTTTAGACAATCCAGTGGAACGCTAGTAGGCTCGCAACCTGTAGGTGTTTATTTGAACACAGTGTTCACCATCAGTACTCCATCCCCCTCATGGTTGCCTTATTTGACATAAATTGTTGAGGAACCCCAAAAGCAGTATTGTCGCCCCAACGAAAATCCTCAGGCTAGGTCCCTTATATTAGATGTTTTAGGGACATAAAGTAAGGATAACGGGAATGGTTAATCGGGTTTGTTTGGTTTGATGAAATTAATAAACTTATTTATTATGGGTTGAAAACCCTATGCGCTCACTAGGCTCCCAAGCCTGACCCACTCAGTTTCTTGTATTACAGGTAGTGACATGAGAGCATAGATGCGATGTTCGGATGATGGATTATGAGTTATAGGCCAATAGATATAAATAAATGTTGTAAGACCTATGTTGTTCTGTTTATGCTTTTGATCTGTATCGAACATGACATCCCGAGGTTTTAATATAATGCCACAACACTTTTTTTTAAAATGTTACTCTAAATTTCAAACAAAGCATAAACAAATCAGTCTTTTTTGTCCGTGAAAATGGGGATTTCACAGTTGGTATCAGAGCATTAGTTTAAGCGAACTAGGAATTTGTAGGATTTCTAGACTTAAACTGTCTACTTTATTTTAGACATGAGCACTAGTTTATTTTAGGAAAGATGCCTAAAATGCTTTCTTGTGCTAAATGCTTTATGTTATAGCTATAAAGATGCTTTATATGCTATTATTTGTTCAAATCTATGGTTTATTTCCGACCGGATCTGGAAACCTTATGTGTTCAGGATTCTAAACGTATGACTACGATATTAGAACTATCATGTAACGTTTCAGAGTAATAAGGGTGATTTAAACCTTTATCCTAAATAAAGATCTAAATTCACCTAATTTGGTGTATAGATAGAAATGGAAAGAACTCACAGTGGAGTTGGAAACACGAATGAAAAAGGAAACCAACAGCCACGACCTCAAGTGATTGATCCAATGCCCGTGGTAGAAGCTGCACCTGAGCCAATCACAATGGTTGGAGTACAAGACATGATTCGGGCTATGTTAGCTGAACAAAGAGAAGAGATGAGGTAGATGTTACACGAGAACAATAGGGATGAACCCACGATGCCTGTCGAACAACTAGAACTGAATGATAGGCAATCAGAGGAAGGAAACTACAGCAGGACCGTTGGTCAAGCTGATCCGCCAGTGGTTAGGAGAAATAACCAGGAGGACGGAGTCAAGAGCAACAGATGCAAGTATAAAGACTTTACGACTTGCAAGCTGTCACTTTTCACTGGGAAGGAGGATCCCATCGGAGTAACGAATTGGATCTCGGAAATGGAATTAGCCTTCATGACATGTGGTTGCAAAGGCAAGCTACAAACCACATTCACAGTGCGTCAGTTTAGAGGTGGCGTTGTTCGCTGGTGGAACACCATGGGGAAGACTCTAAGCCTCAATGATCCCTTACCACTGGCTTGAGCAGAGTTCTTAGTACATTTCAAGCGCAAGTGCTGCTCGGCCTGAAACTTGCTCGAGCTAGAGAACCAATTCCTGACTTTGAAGAAAGGAAGCATGTCTATAGATGAATACACCAACAACTTCACAGACAAAATGGAGTTTTCTTTGCGCCTTGTCCCAAACGAGCTGACCAAAATTGAAAAGTATGCAAAGGGACTTCCATGGGAGTATGCGGTGCCAGTATGCCAGACACCTACTCTGGAGGCATCTATCTTGGCTGCCAAGTCTGTGGAAGAGATGATCAAGGGAAGAGCCACTAGTAAGGTTGAGGTTGGGGAAAAGAGGAAATTTTAGGGGTCTGCAAGGCCCAATAAGAAAATCACGTCTGGTTCAAGGAAGTTTGGAGGAGGAGGAAAAAAAAGCTAAGTGGTGCGAGAAGTGTAGAAAGAAGCACTTTGGGAAATGTAGCGAGGAGGTGACTTACTACAAATGCGGGAAGACAGGGCATTACGCTAACGAGTGCACCACCAGTAAAAAGGTGTGGTATGGATGTAATGAAGAAGAAGAAGAAGGAAACAAGGTCCAATGTCCCACCAAAGCCAAAAGCCAGAGCTTTCCAGATGAGCCTGGAAGCCTCAAAGGATGCATAGATGTCGCTTCAGGTGCCTTTCTTATAAATGGTTTGCCTGCAAATATACAGTTTGATTCAGGAGCAAATTAACTACTCCTTTGTATCACATAAATTTGGTGGAAAACTAGCATTGCTTGTATATAAACTTGATGATGCTCTAGTTGTAGAAGTTTTCAGTGGCAAATTCATACCTGTTAGCGATTGCATTAAGAACATCGTTATCGACCTAAATGGAAACGAGTTCCATGAGGAGCTGTTACCCATTGAACTGAATGGTTTCGACATTGTACTAGGAATGGATTGGCTTAGCACCAATGATGTCGAAATACTATGTAGAAAGAAGATATTAAGAGTAAATCCACCTTGTAAAGAGTCATTTATGGTGTACGGGGACAAACGCAGAGTGAATTATGGAATCATTTCCTTAATGAAAGCCATAAAATGCTTGTCCAAAGGATGTATATCATCCTTGGCATTTGCGATCGATGCTAAGAAAGAGAAGAAGGAGATACAAATTATATTAGTGGTGTGTGACTATCCGAAGGTTTTTCCCGAAGATCTTCCTGGATTACCGCCTGATAGAAAAATAGAGTTTCGGATAGACTTGTTACCAGGAACGACACCAATAGCGAAAGCACCATACCTGTAACGCCCGTGTTTCAGGGATAAGCAGTACTAGATGATGTAATAGTCTAGATCAACTATTGTAACTCTTTTTGAAGTAATAAAGATGAATTATTTGAGTATTATGTGCAATTATGTTCTTATTACTCATTTATAAATGTATAATAAATAAAGGATAAAAATAAGCATCAAAATTAAAGTGTGAGATAAACCCAATCTATCTACATAAAGTTTTAGTGGTCGAAACAAGGATTCTGGGGATATAAAGAACGTCGAAATTCGAGTTATGACGAAAAAGTTATGACCCGTCGAAGTTTCGCGACGGAAACCAGCACGACGCCGGGAAGCGTAAATAGTGAATTTACGATAGAGCGATTTTTAGACTTAGTGATCTAAATGAAAGTCATATAATATGTTAAACCAAGAGTGTCCATAAAAAGAATGCCCAAATCTGACTTCGTATGAGGAAGTTATGATTTTTCGAAGTTTCGGCTTAGCAGTGTACAACCCGAAGTTCGAATATTAGATCGA